TATAATTGTAATTGGTTATTGCTCGATTACACATTACATGTAATGAAACAGAACTGCTGACGTAAACTTTTTTTTTCACTACTCAGAGTCAGTGTTGGGAGTAATAATTACACTTTAATTTTAATTGCTCAATTACACATTACATGTAATTGTAATTCATGTAATGCATTAATTTATGTAATCAGAACCCGCAAAGCCTGTTTAAAACTAAATCTTAACATTTTATTACATATGTATCAACATAACGAAAACAATCTCTTACAGAACTGTTTTAAAATTCTTCGACTACCTAACTACAAAACAAAAAGACAAAAACAATAGTTTCTGACCAAATTTGTAGCTCATTGTCAGTTAATTATAAAATGTCACAATTTGTTCATTGTCATGCAAATTAATATTTTCGCTCGCCCGCTTCTTACTCCATAAACAATAAAGTGTTGGAGGGCTAGAGAGAGAAGTGGTAAAAAATAATTATGACAAATTATTGAATAATGCATTTAGAATAATAAATTAGCAAATATTCTATTTATTTATACGCAAAAAGCACACACACACATACAAATAATTAAGTTAATAAAAATTTGGTAAACAAACTGTTTTTAAACGAAATTTTTAACTGTCTGTCATATTTATTAATGAAAAGGTCAAAAACATTTTTAGAACATTAACAAATTTGGTAATGTTTTTTTTTATTTCGAACAATTTAAAAGCAAATATAAATAAATTGTCAATCAAACAACAATTACTTTTTAAATTTTTAATAAATTCTCCCGTATTGTGTTATATAAAAATCCCACATTAGTTATTTTTAATTGTTTTTTTCGGTGCTCTCTAATAACCTTGAGTTCTTTCATTTTAAATTTTTTATATAATTTTTTATGCTTTAAAATTCTTATTAAATAATTTATTGTTTTTTTCTCTTTACAGGTAATTTAATCCAGTGATTTATTTATTTTAACTAAAAGAGTTTGGCATTTATTTACTAATCGAAACCATGAGGAGGGTATGATTTTGTTTATAAAATTATTAACCGGAAATGCGTGAGTGAGCTAATAATGTTATTTAATAACTTTTTTTTTTTTATATATAGCTAAAAAATTTTACATTTGTAATCATATAAAAACTTTTATTTATTACACTGGGGTCTTATTTTGACGTCATGTATTTAATTTTGTTTTTATTTGAATTAATGTTGAATGAGCAACATAAAAAAAATCGTTATATTGAATGTACCGATTCACTATCGCCATTATTTCTTAAAAATCAAGCATTAATTTAAAATGTTATCTTTACAAAAGTGATTGTTTATTGATTTCTAATCTAAAATTTTTATAGGTTTTTCTATTTGTTTTTTATTTTTCCCCATTTTTGTGCAAAATTTGAAATATTTTTATATTAAGAGCAGTTTTTTTACAACAAGTAGCCATTTTGAAATTTAGTACTGATTTTAAAATTTAATAAAATTTTTCAAATTTAGTAAATTTTAAAATTTAGTAAATTTTAAAATTAAAAAAGAATTATTTAATTTAATTTTTTAGTTATATTTAGTCTTAATAGTTTGTACTAAATTAAATTCAAATTTGGTCAAATATTGTAATTTAGTAAAAGTTGTCAAAAAAAAAAAAAAATATATGCAATATAAAAACTAATTAAAAAAAATCATTTAGTAGATATGTGAAATTTTAGTCAATTTTTTAAAATTCAGTACAAACTTTTGAATCAGGTATTAATTTTGAAATTTAACAAAATTTTTTAAATTTAGTATACATTTTCTAATAAAGTAAAAAAAAAAAAAAATATATATATTTAGCACTGTACACATTTGTAAATTTTGGGATTTAGGAAAAATTTTGAGTAATATTTCAAATTTAGTACACATTTTAAAATTAAGAAGAAATTTTGTAATTAACTTAAAATTTTCAAAATAAGTATACATTTTATAACTATAGTACAAAACTGAAATAAAAATAAATTTTAGTACGAATTTTTAAATTTAGTAAAAATATTCATATTTAGTACAAATTTAAATGACATAGACATTTAAGGTGCCTTTAACAATGTTGAACCCAATGCCTTCGTAGTTGTACTTGAAGGATTGGCAAACTCAGCAGCTTATTAAAAAACTTCTGTATAACAGGGTCATCAATGCAACGATGTGTCGTGCCACATCATAGGGGGGAGTTTTGCCTCCCTTACTCTAGAATGTAGCTATAAACTCATTACTAAATGACGATACTCCTCGATACCATATCCAATTGCATGGAATCTGCTCTTAACTTGCTCAGCAAGTGGAAATCCGCTAAAAACTAAACTTATCCTTTTTACAAGGAGGTATTAGATTGAGAACTTTATGCCAAAGTTGAGTGGAATAAGACTCAATCTCACTGATTATGCGAAGTACCTTGGGGTGATCCTTGACATTAAACTATCTTGGAAAAAAGGATAAATAAGGCTAATATAGCTATTTACACCTGTAAGAGAGCACTTGGTTCCAACTGGGGCGTTAATCTTAAAGGTATCAACTGGATCTTTAAAGCAGTTGTTAAGCTCATACTATTCTATGGTGTTATGGTATGGTGGAAGGCAATGGAAAACGCTTCCCATTGTGCAGCCATCGAACGCACCCTACGAAACATTGCAAGCCACGAACAATTAAACACTTCGAATCCTTGCATCTTAATGTAGGCTATTGCGTTGCGATTCCACACTTCGACAGACGCTTTCATATCCGAGTTCGTGCTAGGAATTCAGTACCTGAATCCCACTCATCTAAAGGTGTAACAAATGTTTACATTGAAGGCTCCAGAAGGGGTGGAAGGGTGGGTGGCGGTTTTTACATTGAAAGATTTGAAATTAAATCATTTTTAGTCTACCTAATTATTGTAGTACTTTACAGGCAGAGATTACTGCTATCAAGCGAGTCGCCAACTGGCTCGGGTGATATATGTGTATATACGGATAGCAAAGCTGCGATCAGAAATCTAGCGGGTGTCGTTACGACATCTAGCTTAACCGAAGAATGCCGGGTATCTCTTATTGAACAGTGGATAACGCTAATATGGGTCCTTGTACATAGTTATTGGCAGGGAAATTGTATAGCTGATGAACTTGCCAGGATTGTTGCAATGAGAGGGGAAGATGAAATCGACGCATTTACTGGTATCTCCCTTACAAACTGTAAGTCACTGGTTCAGACTAAACTCAAAATCAGATGGTTCAGTGAAACCACCTGTCTCACTTCGAGGTCAATTTGGCCTATATACGATGCTTCCAGGTCAAGCTTATTAAGCTTTCGTAGAGAACAGATAAGAATGCTGGTATCAGTCATAACGGCTGGTTTGAATCTAAAAGTAGAAAGTAATCCTTAAATTGACTCCTACGACCACTAGGGCATCACAACGGGACCGCAACTGGGTGGACCCATGTGAGCCACTCATGATTGATTAAGTGGCTACCTGATACAAATTTAAACATTTTGTATAAAATTGATTACATTAGAAAAATTTTGTACAAATTTATTGTTAATTTTCTAACTTAGTAAAACTATTAAAACTTAGGCCAAATTTTGTTTTTTGAAAACCAGTTGCAACTTGCGATTCTATCGAAATACCTACTAATTTTAATTTAAAAATTCGAATAAAATTTAGTACGATTATAAAATGAGTTATATTTCTTTTGTGTTATTTTCAATTCTTATTTTAATAAAACTTACAATTTAAATTTTATTCAATTTATATTTTATATTAAATTTAGTTGCCATAAATTTTTTGTAAAATATTTCCTTATTGTATATGGACTTTGGCAAAGTTCAATGCGTTTTCTTTTTAAAACACTCTATAACAATTTCTTTTCTTTTAAACGTTTTTAACACATACCAAACAAACATAAAAAAGCACTTGCATTCTTTAAATATCAACTCAAAGAACTATACATACTTGAAATAAACGCCACTATGGGCATAAAATATATATTTTTGTAGACATTCAATCGTATGTAAGAAATACACATTAGCATTGGCAAAGTGTACGTACGTACATTGTTACTAGTCATGGTATGTAGTTACTTATGGTTTTTAGTACCTTCTATCAAGTACCATATTTGTACATACTATTTTAATATACAAGTACTTCTCTTCCATACATACATACATGCATATATGTATATACGAGTATATAAGGGAGGTCCACAAACAAAGAGAGATTGAATATCACGACAATTTTATGCAGCAGAGAGGAAGCTATGAGCAAAATAATATTGGTATTGTTGCTAGGAAATTAGTTTTGAGAAATTCTCTTTTTAAGTTTACTCCCCGAAAAAAGGAGCCATCCTAATGTACAAACACAACTAAGTTATTATATAAACGATTATTTAAGCATTGTATAATATTCATTCTAGCTTTTCCAATTTTCTTTTATAACCATAACCTTGAGTTTTAGACTAAAGACCAAGAATATGTTTTGGTTTCTGTTCTACATTGACACTTGGGCATATGCTTTATACTCACTGCTATTCGAACAGAATCATTGTTGGACGAATTGGAGGGGAGTGTTAAGTAACTAGTAATAACAAGTCATAAAATCCACACAAAAATACTAAAATCATACTTAAATACAAAAAATATACAATGAAAATAATGGTTATACATTTTTTACTAAATGTTGCGTGCTATAAAGAAATATTTAAATATTTCTTTTTATATTTTTCAACAATATCTGCAACACCAATATATTGTGATAATATCTAAAGAGCGAAAAATCGTTGCTTTTTAGATTGTTTACATTTATACTTGACCTAAAAGTAGGCAATTATTTTTCAAAAATATATTCTTAAAATTGTGTTAGTTGTTTATAATATGCATGCAATATGTCTTTAACAATGACATGTTTTCAAATGAATTGAAGTAAATGGATATTTTAAGCCGTGTATATATATTTAATAATTTACTTAAATTGAAATATTATGATATTATGTCAAGGATCAGGTATCTATTTTTGAAGTGATATTTTTTAGATTTATTTTTTTTTTAAATTTGTGAAATAGCTTTTCAAAGATACAAGTTATAAAGAGAAATTGCATTATAGTCCTTAATTAATATTAATCATACGTCACCGGTTAACAAAATTTAAAAACATTTTTCAAATTTGAGCGCTGGTTCTGGAAGTTACTGCTCTAAATATTACTAGATCATCTAGAATTTAAATGAAATTCTTACTTAGCCAATTCATCAATTATGGTCAAACTAATCATCAGATTCAGTGCATTTTCCAACAGACCCTATTTCTAAGTTAGCCACATATTAACACTTGAACCATGGAATTTTTAAGATTTTTTAAAAACTCTTAAAAAAATTTATAAAAATTTCTATTATTATATTTTAAGTTTTATTCTAAAAATCACATATTTTCAATACAACAAACATTTATCGTCCAAATTCATTTCGGCACCCAGTTCACAACTAAAATCTCTGCCAAATTCCACATTATTACTCACTGGTCCATTAATATCATACTGTTCCATAGTACGACGATATAAGGGTAAAAATTCCGGAGCCAATTCCACTTTATGACGTGCTGCACAATGGGTCTGAGCAAAATTAATAAAAAATAATTGTGTGTTAGTGAAATTTACATCTGGCAATGTCTCCAATTCTAATTCTTTTCTTGGCCGACCGTCTTGCTGTAACCAGTTTATGTAGGCTGTAAAAGCTATATTTAAAGCACTTGTTTCCGCCATAATATCACGCAATTTGGTAGCATTTCGAAAAACATTTGGATTATTATGAAAATTATTGCTTATTTGGGCACGAAAGCATTCGCTAATAAGTGGAAAATTATCCATAGTAGTGGGATCATAGGGAAAAGTATTCATTGGATTTTGAAGCAAACCTTGCTGATCGAAAATTTTTATAATTTCTCTAGCTATTGCCACACCGATGGAGGAGTATTTAAGTGAATTGGCATAGGAGGGAGAATAAAAGGGTTTTTGCAGCAGACCATAACCGACCACTAATTCGTAAGCTAAAGGTTTTTGTTGTATGCTTACAGCTGGAGCTTCAATGTAATTGAAATGATCATTGGTCAGTCGTACTTGCTGAACTGTCTGATTGGCATTATATATCATTATGGTTTCCAATTTGTGCCAATAATCTTGATCGTCATGCAACGGCAGACCTCTTAAGACATCCGCGTTTGGTTGATACATAGGAAAGGTGATTTTTAAAGTATTTAATTTTTGTTTAATGGCTTTTTTTGTATTCTCGGTCATCCACTGCACATTGGTTTGTAGGTATTTAGAGAAAACCATTTTGATAATGTAAGACATTTCTTGTATATCCTGTTTGACTTCCAATTGGTTGAATTTATCGCTGTAGACTTTACTTAATACCTGAGGTAAGTAACGCATGACCTGGTTGACACAGTAAAATGGCCTTTGGCCATTGCGTTCGTTAAGGGGAAAATTAATTTCCGTTAGAGCCCGATACATAATGTAATGGGCAAATGATGCCTGTAGACCCTTCTTCGATATATGACTTAACTGTTTGAAATACTCATCGGAACGGAAGTAAACTTGAGATATTGTACCCGTATCTAAACTGCGATCAACAAAATCCTTAAAATTTATTTGATAAATATCTGATAGACTGTTTAAGCTCTGTAAGGTATTGGTGGCACTTTGACGAACTCCATGCATTCGATTTTCCACAATTCGAGCCGGATGACCTCTTCTGTTAGAATTCAATGCCATTTCCCCTTCCTCATCCAGTGGTGTTGCCAGTTGATCCATACGCATATATTTACACAAGTCAAATTCAAAACGTAATATAGCACCCGCTGTACGTAAAGCATTTGATTCGGTAATTTCAAAAAAGTTACGTAAATTATCTTTAATTTCATTTTGTATTTTATCAAATACTTGATCTTTTTCATCTATTTCACGAGCAGCTAAAGAACTGCATAATTCCACTGGCAGTAAAGTGGTACGGGGTTCCTCAATATAGATAGCTTTATGATTGGTGTTGGTGCGGTCAATTGTAAGGCCAATTAAAATATCAAGTCCATACTTTCGGCGCAAATCAGCTATTATATGAACCCAATTGTAGTTGTTGGCATCCCAACTGATACGCTTTATATCGGGCAAACCACCATGTTGTGAAATGAAAGTGTGCATAAAATTTCTTTGAGCCGGTGAGTTAGCCGGTACCCTTAAACATGATTTATAAAAATCCTTTGCCACTTTTATACCCATTGCTTCTTGGGACACTATCGGTTCATTTAGTATGGCTTGCAATTGTTTATTGACAAATTGCTCCATTTGGCTTTGGACACTTATCAGGTCACCTTCACTGGCCATATCAGTGTTTTGTTCTTGCAACCAATTGCCACATGCATAATCATAGAAATCTTTACAGGCATCTCCTTCTAAGTTCATATATTTCAATATTTCTCTTGCTTTATGCTCTCGTTCTTGAATTGTTCGGTGGTCTATTTGCCTCGTTTGAGGCTGTTGTTGCTGATGCTGTAGTTGTTGCGAAACTTTTTGACGGCCTTGTTGTATTTGACCTTGGCCTTGTTGGCGTTGTTCGCTGTAATTGATTGCGATTATTAGACATATTAAGAATAAAGAAATCTTCCGATTTTGTAACATTTTCACTGTTAGAGTTTAGAATAGCTACTAACTAATCTTTGAGTAATATACAATTAATTAAAGCGAACTTTTGCTGACGCTCAGTCTCAGTCTCTTTTGGCAAATTGAAATGTCTGGTGGAATTTTATGTTTTGTTTTCAAAGCGATAAGAATGGGAAACTAAAAATATCAAAACACTCATGATAATTAAGTAAATAATTAGTTCAAGTTTAACTTGAACAAACATGATTTGTGTGATTAGTATTTTTTAATAAAATTTAATAAATCCCTTTAATTTTAATATAAATTGATAATGCCAAAAAAGTATTTCCCAAGATTAAATCAAAGTCAATGAGTTTAAAACTTTAAGTAGTAAAGTAAATAAAAAATTGTATTTTTGGCGGGACGTCTAAAATATAGAAATATTCATAAAGGCATTCTCTTTAATAAAATCGCTAATTTAGCAACACTGTTTACAGCTTTAATAAATTCCATTACTCTCATTCAATTACGCTACATTTCCTATTTATAAACAATCTTTCTCAATTCTTATCACAGTCACTCATATTAAAAAACGACCTTGTCATCAATACAAAAAATAAAACGCTATTTAAATTTATTATTTATTTAAAAACGAATAATATCTCATATTTCAATTAATAAATTATACACTTATCAGCTACATTCATTTCCGAACCAATTGCACATCCAAACTCTCGGCCGAATTCGTGAAAATTTCCCAAAGGGCCATTGACTTCATACCGCGTCATGGTATGCTTATCCAAAGGGCTGACAACAATCCTAGGTATTTTTTCCTGCTTTGGCGTTGATTTCTTTTTAGCTTCACAGTGCATTTGAGCAAATGATATGAAAAATAATTGAGTATTGGTGAAATTAAGTTCCGCTAAAGTTTCTCGAGATAAAACACCATGATCATTGTTAGGGTTTTGATAGTTAAGCCAGTCGAGATAAGCACTAAAGGCTATATTTATTGCAGAATTTTTAGCCATAAGTTGGCGTGTTTTAGTAGCATTGCGAAAACTATCAGGATCATTGTTGAGATAGTTGCCAATTTGTTGACGCAGGCAATTGGCACGTTTGTAAAATTCTACCGCAGTTATGGGATCCCAGTTATTATGACCGCTTATGTCACTAGTCCAACCGTAATCATCAAATGCTGTAGCTATAGCTTCTGCTAGTATTTGGCCCATAATAGCAAAACGCATAGAATTGGGCAATTGTGGTTGGTAGTAAGGAGCTTGTAATAACCCCCAACCCATATCGATGCGTTTATGATAAGGTCTATAAACAATTCTAGTTTCATAGGCCTCAACTTCATCTTTTGGTTTGGGTAAACCGGTAGCAAATACACGACTCAATTCATTATTTCTCACCTCAGCCATTATAAGTTTCAGATTCATCCAATAATCACTGCGCGAAAATTGCAAATTCAAAGACGTTTTATCGTAGGCGGGAAAATATAAATTCATTTCAGCCAACTTGTTTTTACCCAATCTTGCCGTACTACCCTCTATCCAATTCTGTTGTAGACTGGCACCAAATATGTCTTTAAGTTTCTCAAATATGGTCTGCACTTGATCCTGATCCACCACATTGGCATATTTACGATGATACATATCACCCAAAATTTGAGGAAAATATTTCTTGACTATTTGCAGGCAATAGGAAGGACGTGTCTGAATAGTGTCATTTAGAGGTAGACTAATATAAGACATTGCTCTGTACATTATATAGTTAGCTATTGTAGTACTGTTATTCGTATCCATTACTTTGACAAGCTGTTCAAAATATTGTGGACTTCTCATGAAGACGGGCTTGTACACAGGTACGCCAAAACTTTCTGTTACTATGCTATTTAAATCGATTTTGTTCTGTAATTGATGGGTAAAATCGGTTAAGGTTTTGCGAGCATATTTTTTGTGCATCAGCTCGGGATTAGTACTGCCCACAAAGTCCTGCTCCTCGATTTCTGTGATATACATGGCAGAACATAAATCGTACTCAAATGTTAAAATATCGGCCGCCAATTTCCAGGCTTCTTCCTTATTGAGTGATAACCATATGCGCAAATTATCAGCCACCTCTGTTTCTATAGGCACATATTCTTCATCGGTTAATTCCACTAACTTTGTACCGCGATAGCTACACAAATGCTTGGGTATTATTGTGGATGGCTCTCCCAAGTAAATACTGTTTTCATGCATGCTTTGATAGTTGATGTCGATATCCATACCTATCAAAATATCCATGCCATAATGGTAACGTAGTCCCGCCACTATATGCTGCCAATCATAGTTGTGATGATGTATTAACCAATTTGAACCCGGTATGGCCGGAAAGCCGCCATTGTTCTTTATAAAATCATTAAGGAAAACCTGTTGCTGTAGTTCGTTTCTTTTAGCTTCCAAGCAGGATTTATAAAAAGTTTTTACTTTTTTCGATGTCAAATTATCATCAATGGTTACATTCTCATCCAATAATTTGTGCAAATCCTTATTGACTTTGGAGTCAAGCAGAGTTTTAGGTGTTTCAATATGTTTTTTTGTAGGCGTATGGAACTTTTGCCAATTTCCACAGGCATATTCATAGAAATCCACACATGGATCTATGGAGAGTTTCATGTAATTAAGTATCTCTCTGGTTCTGGCATTTCGTATGGCTTCATCTTGTTTAAATATGGGAAACAGGGTAGTTTGTCCATTAGTCCTTGAACATGGCCATATTAAGAAGATAATTATGATGGATTTCAGTACTATTGCTTTCCTAAACATTTTCTTCATTCAATCAAAGCTTACGAACTAAACTATTGTTTTGTAGATTAAGCTGGTTACAAAAATGAGCTTTTCCTTTTTACGTCTTCAAATTCATGTATTTATTTTATGTGATTCTCTTAATATAAGAGAGTGTTTCTTATCGAAAACACTAAGAGTTGCCAAAGAGTCTGCTCAAAGCGTGGAATTTTATAAAAAATTCAGGGGGTTTTTACATACCCATAATTCATTTGCCTTTAGCTTGATTTCTCACACTTTATTCTTCAATCACTTTTATAATCTTTACTTGGCAACAATGTTTTGACAGTTCTTTTCTTGTTTCTCTTCTCTCTCATCTAAAAATTCTCAATTATAAATTTTATTGATTCTAAACTGATAAAGATTTGTTCTAAAAAAAAAAAATTATATTTTTGAATGAATTTATAAGAAAAACACAAGGGATCAACAAAAGGTTATCATGCTCTAATTCCACTATATATTTGTAAACCTAAAGCTGTTGTTACTTGAACTAAATTCATAAGTTTATGAAAACAAATTTTAAATTAAATTTTTTCTTTATTAAAAAAATATTATTGTTGAGTATTACAATTTTACAAAACTTTACGAATTAATATTTTGAGTTTAATACAAAACACACTTTTGTTCTGGATTCATTTTATTGCCCAAATCACAATTATATACCCGGGCAAAATCATTTAAATTAGCCAAAGCACCAATAACACGCCAACGTTCTGGTAGCTCTTCATACTCCTCAATATCCGGCGAGTAGTCAGCGCACCAAAGTTGTGCAAAACCAATGAAAAATAATTGATTGCGTGAGTATTTGTCGAGTAGTGGCAAGGACTCTTGTTCGGCTGATTCATTGTTGGCCACATTTTCCCACCATTGAGTGTAGGCCTTGTAGGCAATGCTTAAGGCGGCATTATCCGATACATAGGTGTTGGTCAGTTTCTTTTCATCTCTACGCACCCAATTGGGGAATTTGTATTTGGAATATTGCTCTACATAGCATTTGGCCTTGTCATCGAAACTGTACTCGGTTATAGTGTCCATCCAACCGTTTTGATTACCATGTTTGTCATATTTACGTCCTTGAGAATCGAAAGCTTTAAACATTTGTTGAGCCAATAGATAACCCATAGAGCTGTAGAGCAAAGCATGAGGATAGGAGGGATCCCATAAGAAACGGGATTGCAGAAAAGTAATAGGTATAAGTATTTTATTTTCTTCATAAGAATAGTGAGGCAAGTCAAATTTCTCCTCTGGTTCTGAAGGTCTTTCATTAATTTTGGCCAAATTATAAGCAGTCTGCCATTGCCAAATGTTAATTAGATTTTGATAGTAATTTGTTTTTCTCACCAACACCTTTTGCATTTGCTCTGCATAGGCAGTATTTACCGAGGATAATTCGAAATCCATGGCATCTAGTTTCTCCACAAATTTCTGTTTGGTATCTGTTCCCACCCAACTTAATTTGGCTGAAGTTTGTAGTTCCTCACGGAAAGTTTTCTTAATATCTGACCATACCGACTGCAACTCATTGGACATTTGCATGGTGTGATAGTTGCGGGCAAACATATTTTCCAAAGCTTCAGGGAAATATTCCATGACTTTATTGACACAGAAATTGCTGCTCTTGGCATAGTGGGCTCTTTCCAAATCAAATTTATTCAATACTTTCCACATGGTATAATTCGCTATGGTCATTTTAGGAGTCTCCTTAATAACATCCATTAAATTTGAGAAATAATCAATGGGACTTTCATACACTTGGGCATAAATGGTTGAATTGAATATTAAATTCAAATAACGATTAATATCCACATAACTACCATAGGCGGCTTTCAAATCAGCGGTATATCTCAAACGTGATTTTTGTTGTACTGTCAAATCGGGTCTAGCAAAACCGGCGGCTAAACGTCTTTCTACATGAAGCACTTGTTGGGCAACCTCATGGGACCATTGTTCGGACATATCGGGGAAATAACGCTGTAATTGGATTTGTATGCTCATGGTGTAGGCAGTTCTTAAACGTTCATTATCTTCATCCTCCATTAAATAGGCATGTTGAGATAAGTACAAATCAGGAGCTCCCACCATTATACGATGCATATCCTTATCCTTAAAGTCAGGCACCACTTTCAGACCAATCATTATATCAACACCCAAATTTCTTCTCATTTTTGCCACCACCTTCAACCAATCGTATTCCGACTCATACCAATGGCCATTAAAAACTTTAGGCCAGCCTCCCTTGAAATCAACTTCATTCATTATGTACTCCAAACCCATGCGTTCAATTTTACCCGTTTCCAAACAAGATTCATAGAAATTTTTCAATTTTATATCCAAACTAGAATCAATTCTACCATCACTGGCCAACATCTCGGCACATTTACGCCAATATAAATTTTTTAATTGTTGCAGATTACTACTTTTGCCCTTAGGTGGAGCTGGGTGCAGTCTGGACCACTTGCCACAGGCAAATTTATAGAAATTTTCACATGGTGGTTTTTCTTCATTTAAATAGGCCTTTATTTCCGAAGCCTTGGCTAATCTTAATAACTCTTGGGTATAATTTTGAGCCACCGGTATGCCTTCACAAATTATACCACAAACTCCTAAGAGTAGTAGTGTTTTAAAAATGATATTCATTTTTATTTAAATTTCAAAATATTTTTCCGCCGTTGTTTTCGATGTTTAACGCTCCCGTTTTAAAATTAAACTAAATTCTAATTTTATTTTTATATTTTTAGTTCTTTATACTCAAGCTTATCATCAGATAATGTGTAGACATATATTTTAATTTTCTTTACACTTTATTGTTATATTTTTTTGTGTGTTTTTGTTGTTGTTTTGGTTGATTTGTATGCTCAAAATGATTTCATAAATTTAATTTGAACAATTAAAAGTTGCGAGAGATGTTTACACGTACAGGATGAGTAATATAAAATGTTCAATTAATAATAAACAAATTAATAAAATAAAGTAGCCTTGTTAAAGTAATTAGCACTATTTTGGTTAATATACAAAAGCTAAATAAGGTGTAATTTTAGATCGATAGATCGGTTTGTAGATATATATTAGAGCTTTATATAGGATTGGAATTATTATATTATACTTATTATATTTAAGTAAATATCTAATTTTTAACCTAGTTTTCCTATACTAAAAAAATAATAATTTTAATTTTCAATTAAATTTCAAGGTTCAAATTATTTACACACATCATTAACTACTTAATCTTCTGCTCTCTTTACACATTACACTATAATTAATTTTGTATTTTCCTTCCACCCCTTTTCGTATCTTTTCAGGCAAATACAATTTTCCTCATCCATTTGTAAACGAATAATAAGAAACCATCATAAACTAAGATTTCTATAAGTAAAAAACATATTTTCACAATATTCTTTGAATTTTTTTTTGTTGATGAATTTTTGAAACAAAAATTTACGTCTAACGTATTTTCATCATTTAAGAAAAAAAAATCGAAAAGAAATTTCTACACAACACCTTCATGCAAATGAAAAAATTATAGAAATTCATTAGTTTTGACATCGTCTACAACATTTTGGAGTTGTTTTCTTTTGAAGTGAAAAAATTAAATTATTATTTTGATTTACGGATAAAAAAGGAATTAATTTGAACACGGTAAGTTGAATTTGTTTTTAATGTAAATTTATTATTATTAATAACATTTTAAGCTTACTTAAGAGAAATGCTGACCATATTTAAAGATTTTTCTAATTTTATGAAATAGTAAAACCTTTCAATTTAAATTTGTACCTGTAAGGATTTTTTAAAATTACATTAATATTCTGACATTTTATGTTTTTGTTATAAAACTAAGTACAAAAAACACTAAAGAATTTTTTTGTTTTTATGTCTTTGAATTTACTTTAATCATGATTTAAATTTTCCGCCATAATTTTATTATGTACTAGTATGTATCTCATCCATAATGTTTTTATGGAGCATTTTTTTAATTGCCAAAATAATACATTACCCATGCCAGCAGTTTGGTTTATTTTGCAAAGCATATTCTATAAAATATGTATTTATACTGGTTAGTGATAGGCACAAGGAGAATATGAGTTATTTATAATATTTAGACCCTATACCACTTTAGTGGGGTACACTCATTGACGAAGCCTATTGAAAATGGTTATGATCGGTCCATTATTTCACCTAGCCCCCATACAACTAAACCCCCGAAAAAGGCTTGTAAACCTTGTAATCAAAGTACAGGTCGCAATTTTGAAGATGCATGATCTTCTATTGTACTAGAGACGAATCTTATTGAAAATAGGTAACATCGGTCCAATATTTGACCTAGCCCCCATACAACTGAACTCTTCGAATAGGGCTTTTAAGTTCATAATTATGTTCAATATACTCGTTTCTCGACAAAAAGCTGCAAAACCAAGTTCTATACTAGCCTTCATGACCCTGATGTTTTTTTTCATGATAGGGCCTCATTTGAGCCTAGGCGCTATTCAAAGCCCCCTTCGAAATATGACTTAAATGTAAAAAATTTTATTCAACAAAAAATGACTAAAGTATATCTGAGACAAAGTACAATTCAACTTAAATGCTTTATTATGAACACTAAATCACATTTTATTTTTATAACTGGTCGGTAAAGTGTCCCGAGGAACGGCCTTTTTAAGAATTTCATGTATGACCTCTTAATCGATGCGTATTAATGTACTGAACATTAATATCAAGATTTTCAATCGCTGGTAGGCAATTGAGGACCTTTTCAAAAAATTGTTTTTTTTTTTTTAAATATTCTCGCATTTAGTACATTAAAACGCATCGTTTGAGAGGTATTCCTCCAAAAAAATGCTCCACGGGTCAACCTACTGGTCGGCTTCGCCCGATTTTTCCCTTGTGAATTAGCTTAAAAAATTTATGTTGATACAATTTTTAAAGCAAGATAATTTATTTTATTTTTTTTTTTCAAAAAATTCTCAACATTGTGTAAGTTACCGGGAAAGTCTAGTTTTATAAATTAGTTCCTATTTAAAGGGGTATTAAAGGCTAAGACACCCTAATGATGAAAGCAATATGTTTGAGCTACGGTAAAAGACCCATTCTCAGTAGCGTCTGTTCCTTTTATTGGATTACTCACTGGCGGGCTATTAGCACTCTAGCCGTTTCTTGTAGAGATCAGGCCAGCCCAGAGAATAACATTAAAGGATCGAGCATTATTTATGATTACAGCGTTACACTAAGAGTCGATTTAAGATATGTTTTTAAATTTATTTTAATCTCTTTATATTCCCTTATGACACAATTATTGAAAAATATTTCTCAAATTTATGTTTGCTTCACTCTTAACCCGCTAAAGACTTTAAAGTTGAAGGACCCAATAAAAGAAGTTCTATCAAGGGCACACGTATTAATTTATATTTCGCTCTATAACCATCCTTATCGGCTACATAAGTCGTTTCAAGGCGATAGACAAAATTATTACTATCTTTGGCATATAATTTTTGGGTATTTGTACCCTCTATCACTAATTCTTCTTCGGATGTGTTTTCATTTTTCAAAGAGAAAGTTTCTTCACGATAAGAGTCATCATTCGAAATGCTATAAATAGATTTATATTCTTTTAATATCAAATTTATAACACATTTATTTCAAGTACTTTACTTACTTGATCTTACGTATAACTTTGGTATCTCCTTGTGTATAGCTTAATAGGACCAAAATAAATGCTAAAATTAGCTAAATTATTAAAAATATATATTTTTTAATATTTCTTTAACAATATATTTGAAACATTTTTTAGTATATTACCGTGGTTTTCATTTTCGTTGCTTTATCTGCTATTGACCAAGAGTTACTAATTTGCTAAGATATTTTATGAAGGTTTCTTTGTAGGTTCGAGTTAACTATTTATATGTTTAAAGTTAATAACTTAAATTCTTGGTAGGTCATTGGGCTTTCTATGAATTTAAAAAAAAATGTACAAAAACAAAAACCTGAATTTCTAGTTGATGATTCTTCAGTTTGATATTTTTTGGTATGAAAAACTTATGTTCACACCTATCAAATATTTGACGAAAAACACTTAACTACTAATTCATAATTGCAAATAAATTCGAAACAAATAATAAAGATGTTCTAAACTGATAAATACAAATATATATTATGTTTGTGTAAGCAAATACATATATATACTTATTAAGAGGAAATCATATTGTCGATTTGTTTAGGGGTCACGCCATTTTCATAAAATATTTGGTAAATGTGAACATAGCTTTATGCCATTTTTAGTTATGTCTTGGTTTCTTTTGTTTGATTGAAAGAATAAATCAGTTGTATCTAAATACAAAACTTTACCCACTTTAATTTACAATAATATGAATATTTGTATATCCTTGTATATTGATCCAACATCTTATAGTATACCAATCGTCACAGAATTACTTTCTGAGTCGGTTTAGCTATGTCCGTCTGTCTGTCACAATTTTCAAGATAATTTTATGAAAATTGGCACATACTCTTTGACCCAAGGACTATTGAAAATGGTTAAAGTCGGTCCATTATTTTGCCTAGACCCCATACAACCGCACCCCGCAAATTGGGCCTTTGAGCTCATAATTATGTTAAATGTTCTAGTATCTCAACAAAAATCGACAAAGCTTAATTTTATAAAAGTCTAAATGATACTGCCGATTTTCGTAATCATCCATACCCTTAGCCCCATATAAACCCTCTTGTAGAAAATCTCTTTTTTCGTGTCAAGTGACCCAACTTTAAAAATCAATGTCTTCCGATTTGGATGAAATTTGCACCAAGGTTAGTACTATGGTAGGTCGGAGACAAAATTTTAGCTCTATCTGTCAAGAACTGCCGGAGTCAGAGGGGGTCAAAGTTGGACATTTTGACTATACAGAGTTTTTTTCAAATGAGTGTAACTTTCCACCTATTGGTCCTAGCAAAAATTGCCCAAAAGAGTTCAGATAACTATTTCCTCATTCTTTCGAAAGCTTTCTTGAAATTCATATATATGAAATACCCCATATATTACTTGTATAATGTAAACTGGCTTTTAGCTATTTTATTGCGCGTCAATGACAAAGCCGGAAATAAGTACTTAGATTAAAAGAACGTTATTACTAGACTCCTTATAAGTAATGCAGACGATATGTAGATGTGATTGAAAAGTAAGTTGGTGAGTAAGTACAAGTCATTACCAGTTTTTTTTTTGCCATTAAATTGAACGACACAAAATCATGTTTACGTGTCTTGGCTGAAAATTGTTTGAAAATTTACTTACAGTGTAATTGGTTCTTTTATTAAAAATAATTTTTATCGAATACTACAAGATTTATTGTATGTATGCTTATGTTAATTATTACAAAATATTCTTACTTTGCGAATAGAATAAAATAGATATTTAACCCGCTGCAGTTTTTAAAGTATTTGGATTCAAACCTGTTGATGGAGGAAAAGCAGATACGCTTACTGTGTTTATTAATATTAATTCATATATCACTCGATAACCATCTTTATCGGCCACATATATGGTTTCAATATTATAAGGAAAATTGTTTATTACATGCTGGCCCTCTATAATTAATTCTTTTTCATTTTTCAATGATATGGTTTCTTGGCGATTGAAGCCATTGTAAGCAATTCTAAAATAAGAATTTTATATGAAAAAATATATTAGAAAATAAAGCAAAGCTTGAAATTTCAAATAATCCATTAATTTTTATCAAATAATTAAATATACAAATTTCGTGGACAATTTTCTAAAATTTATGTAGACCAATTACATACATATTTTTTCACTATGCTTACTTGATCTCACGTAAAACTTGAGTATCTCCTTCAATGTAATTTAATAGGACCAATATAAATATCAGAAACAGCTAAATTATTGAAAAAGGTTTGAAATTATAATTTAATTAAATTTTTTTAATTATTTTATTTTACCCAAGTTTTCATCTTCGATGTTTTATCTGCTGATGTCTAAGAGTTACTAATTTGTAAATATGTTCTTATAAGTTTTATTTTACACGATTTTAATAATGCAATTTGTTCTTAAATTTATAAATATAATCGTTTTGGCTACAGCAACATCTAAGTAATCATTAAAAGATTCTATGTAATTAAAGAAGAAACAATTTACAGACAAATAAAATACTTAAAAGTTTTTTATTTAAAGTTATTATTTATAAAAAGTTTAAATAATGTTGTAATTATTAATTCAATTTTTTTTTTGGTTTTATGTAAGACTAACTATACAAATTTATTATGCAAGTTTATTTTAACCACAGTTTATTTAATTAATATAAGATGATTATTAATTTTTATAGTTATTTATTATAATTAATTGTAAAAGTTTATACATTCATAATTAAACATATATTTTGAAATTTGCTTACATCTAACCTGCTGTTGATTTTAAAGTTGAGGGACTCAATCCTAAAAGAATTTGCATTGTGGGTTCTCTTATTAGCTTATATTTCACCCGATAACCATCTTTATCGGCCACATAAATCGTTTCAATGCGATAAACAAAATCTGTATTATCTTTGGCATATATTTTCTGCACATGTGTACCCTCTATAATTAATTCTTCTTCGGGAGTATTTTCATTTTTCAAATATATAGTTTCTTGACGCTGAGAGTCTAAATCGAAAATACTGTTAACAGATTTTAGTATTTGATATAATCAAATTTTATTAAATTACTTACTTAATCTTGCTTAAAATTTTTATCTCGCCTTGGGTGTAGCTTAATACTAGCACTAATATAACTGCCAAAAATTGCTAAATTTTAATGAAAAATTATATTATTGGTATTAATTTTATTTTGCAAAATTTTTTTTTACCCAAATTTTCATCTTTGATGTTTAAACTTCTCTTGTTGTATAGTTACTAATTTGTGAATATTTTTGTTAAAGGTATTTTATGTTGTAAATTATTGTTAGTTCTTGGTGGGTCTGTCTTCATTGTGGTTTTTATTTATTTGTCAAAGAAAAACAACTTGCATATATTGTTTTAAGTTTTTCATAAATCTGGCATGAAAATCTTACAAAATTTTTACAAATTAATGAGATTTATTTTCTTCATATTTCACTATATGTTTGCTATTATTTGTTTTTTTAAATGCTCACACAGAAAAAAATTGTAATTAAATAAAATTCTCTTTTTTATACCGTGCCGATGTTTGTAACAACCAAAAAAAAATTGGTCCTACACCCACCTTAATACCAATCGCCTAAGAATCACTTTCTGAGTCGATTAAGTCCGCCCTTCTGAGCATGTAGATAATTCAAGATAATTTGGCTTTATTGGCCTATAGACGAAGCCTATTGAGAATGGTTAAAATCAGTCCATTATTTCCATTAGCTCCCATACATCTGAACTTCAGAAAATGACTTGAATGTTCACAATTCACTTATAACAATTAAATATTACGTAAATATAAATGACTCCAACGAATTATATCGGGATCGATCCACATTTGCCTCTAGACCTCATATACAGCCTCTTTCAGAAAATTCAACATAAATGCTTTATTATGCAAAATAAGTCACAGTTTATATTCATAATGCAGGGTATCACGCCCGACTATATTTTCTTACTACTCTAATGTTTGCAAAAGTAGAAGATCCAAAAAACCCTACACCACTTTAGTGGGGAGGGTATATAGGAATTGTGCTGATGTTTGCAACACATATAATATTCGTTATATACCCACCTTAAAGTATACCAATAGGCTTAGAATAATTTTCTGAGACGATTAAGCTATGTCCGTCTGGCTGGCTGTCCATGTAAACCTTGTGCGCAAGGTACAGGTCGCAATTTTCAATATAATTCGATGAAATTTGGTACACGCACTTTTTTTGGATGAAAACCTATTGAAAATGGTTAAAATCGGTTCATTATTTAACCTAGCCCCCATACAACAGAACACCCCGAAAAGGGTCTTTAAGCTCATATATATGTATGTTAAATATATCTCGATGGAAAGCAGCACAAACAAGTTTTATACGAGCCTTCATGACCTTGCCAAATTTCATAAAAATCGGGCCTCTTTTGACCCTAGCTCCCATACAAAGTCCCCTTCAAAAACGGATTTGAATGTCCAAAATTCACATATAAACACTAATACCGCGATGAAATCCAGCACAAATAAATATTATATAAATATAAATCTATTCTCAAAATTTTATCGAGATCGATCCATATTTGGCACAAACCCCCATATAAACCATTTTTCAGAAAATTAGTTTTTCGTCCATAAATTGCTTAAATGTATCGGAAACAAGGTTGTATTGAAGATAAATACTTTATTATGAAAAATAAATCACATTTAATATTCATTTAATAGGGTATCAAATGGTCGGCCACGCCCGACTATACTTTCTTACTTGTTTTTTATTTCACTTTGAAAATTTTCATACACGATTATATTTACAATATCTATATATAATTAAATTCAATTTAATTTTCAAAATTTGATTAATTTTCGTTCTCACAATATTATAATTTTATTAAAACTTATGTACTTAACCAGCAGTTGATTTTAAAGTAGATACTGCTAAACGATGCGTATCATCAAATTTTTCCTTAACCAATATAACAATCGGTCTATAGCCGTTCTTATCAGCCACAAATACAATATCTAATTTTTGTACATGCTTGTCATCATTTGGTATGGAAAATTTTTGTACAATTCCACCTTCCACAACTAAATTTCCATCATCATTTAGAGATATAGTCTCATCACGTAAAGTATAACGTAGAGATACGCTAAATTAAGAAAATTACAAAAAAAGTTTTTCTTGTTTACTTTCTATACACTCAAACTTACCTGAATTTTCTTAAAACTTTAGTATCCGCTTGAGAGTAACTGCAGCAGATTAACAAAATTAAAGTGATGAAATTAAGCTATGATGTATTAAATGTATTAAAAAACATTCAGTAAATAGATATTTTACAAAATAATGCTACCTTTTTTAAATTAAACATTTTGTTAAAACTTCTTGTTATTGACTGAATTGTTAAGATGTTGAATTTTTAAATTATCCCAAAATAAATATAGAGATAATGCAAAAAATACTAGTATTCCAAGAATTTTTTTTATGCATGAATCTCTGGTATAATTATGGTTTTGAAACAGGTTAATTAAAAATTACACAGGCCAACAAAATCTGAAAAAAAGTCGAAACGAGCCGAGACCAAATTATAGATTTCTAAGGCGCTAAATCAGAATCCGATACTCAGAATTACTCCAATACATCAGGTTATCGAGATATCGTGAAGATATCATCATTTATAAAATCCGTTATGTCATATGAAAGTGCAATTTGTGGACTTTAAAATAAAGGCTTAACCTCTGATATATCTTCATGATCTTTCTAGATATCTTATCTTAAAGCCTGAAACAATTATAGAACTAAAAATCCAAGAAAAGATATCTCCTATTTTACGGCAAAAATTTCATCGGAATCTGTGCAAGTACAGGAGATTTTTAAATAATTCATTGGGATTTTTATGGAAAACTTTTATTTTTAAGTAGACAAATTGGATTTTCAGATGATATAACCGATTGTATCAACAAATGTGTCTTCGACTCAAATATAGCCAAAAAACTGATATTTTTCAGTTTTTAGGTCTTAATATCTCAAAAATCTGATGTAATGGAGAACAGATTCTTATTGAGCTATAATCAATCCTTTTGAAAAGTATACTTTGGTCTCTGTGTTTAAAATTTGTTGTCCTGTGTTATTCAAGAGAAACATTATAAAACTGCATGCATGTTGTCATAATTAGACAAGAAACAGAAAAACACAAACATTTTATATCTTCTTTGTTATATGAAGAGTTATTTTTTTTAAACATTTAAATTTTGCAAAATTTATGTTAAACGCATTTCAAAAAATTTATTTCTATAATAAACTGGTTTTATTATTTATTTTAACATTAATGATGAGTAACTAACTTTAGTTTTCGTTGTTTATCAAACTTAAATCCTTTTCAAAACATTTCTTAACCAGCGGTTGATTTCAAGGTGGAAGGACTTAACACAACGGCATGTTTAGGATACTCATTTTTCATTAAAACATATTTAGCTTTATAACCATCTTTGTCGGCCACATAAAACACTGTTAAAAATAATTTATTTTTGGTATCCATGGGAATATCAAAATTTTCTTCAAATGAACCTTTCACCAACAAATGTTGCTCATTATCCAATGTTATAGTCTCAGAGCGATAAGAGTTCTCAACGGGTAGACTAAAAATAATGTAATTAATTAATTTTCTAAATGTAGTCATTTCAAATTAATTTTACAATATTTTGGTGTCTGCTGAGGTTAATATAAAGCCAATTATTAAAACGGACAGGCTTAGAAACAACTGTAAAAAAAATTATTAAAATTTGTTTTTTTTTTTTTTGAAAATTTTATTTCAATCGTTCACCTTAAATTCTTGAGACATTTTAACTAATATTCATCTAAAATGCAACTGATTTGTTTTATAACTCTTCTGTCACAATTTGTATACTTTTTATTTGATTTGCAATATTATTTGAACTGGATATACAAGTTTATTTTAGTTTAGACAAATTTTATTTTAAATTCACTACAAATATGGGTTATGAATAGCTTGTATCCCAAATTCAAAAGATTTATTAATTGAATTTGAAATGTGAGTTATTTTATTATTAATTATGTTATTGTTGATTTATTGGTTCAGTTTTATATATAATTCTTTAAGAGATAATAATTGCTTTTCCAAAAATAAAATAATCTTTTATACACCTGCCACAAAAAAATAAATAGCCTTTACTTCATAAGCCTTATATAATTCTTATTTAGGAATTATTTTGAAGACAATTCTCACTCCAAGAATGTATTCGATATCGTTGAATATCTACAGATATGTGATTTTATTAAACACAGACATATTGACTACTCGGCATGTTTGGATATTTTTACTGAGATGAATTTTTGAAAGATGAACTTAACAATAATGCTCTAACTATTGAAATCAACTTACTGAAGCCCACAGATATCTCACGAAGTCATAATTAACCGACTTATCGACGCCTCCATGCTAAATTATTTAGGGTGTACCTTGAAAGTTTATAATGTTATTGATTTTTTTATTATTAGTTATCTAACATAAATACTGAAAAGTTTTGGTTCAGATCGACCGAAACTTTCCGAAGTTATAAGAAACAAGTTAGGAAGTAGTGTCGGGATGTCCAACCATGTGTTACTTTACACCTTTTATGAGTATATTTTAAAATGATTTATTTTTTATAAAAAAAAACATTTATGTATTAAGCCGAAAAACATGTTTGGTCAAATTTTATCTAAATATGTTGAAAGCAGCGTCCTGTACCTTGCGCACAAGGTTTACATGGGCAGATAGGCAGCCAGATGGACATGTCATAATCGATTCAGAAATTGACTATATACTAGACAATAGACTAGAGTATAGACTATAATATAGACTAGGCTATACACTATACTAGTTTGTTAATTAGTTAGTTAGTTAGTTAGTTAGTTAGTTAGTTAGTTAGTTAGTTAGTTAGTTAGTTAGTTAGTTAGTTAGTTAGTTAGTTAGTTAGTTAGTTAGTTAGTTAGTTAGTTAGTTAGTTAGTTAGTTAGTTAGTTAGTTAGTTAGTTAGTTAGTTAGTTAGTTAGTTAGTTAGTTAGTTAGTTAGTTAGTTAGTTAGTTAGTTAGTTAGTTAGTTAGTTAGTTAGTTAGTTAGTTAGTTAGTTAGTTAGTTAGTTAGTTAGTTAGTTAGTTAGTTAGTTAGTTAGTTAGTTAGTTAGTTAGTTAGTTACATACTTACTTACTTACTTAGGCCTCTATCGGGCCTGTTGTGCGCTTCTTAACCAGTGCCTCAGGTGGGAATAGAATCCACCACCTTCGATCTACCAGACTACAACACTAACCACTAACCTACCGGAGGCCACTACATTAGACTAAATAAACTATATACTATAAAAAGTAGCGTTTGGATACCGCGGAATTATTCGATATCAAGAAGTATTATCATCATTAAGATCTTCTTGAACTTTTTTCGTCATTGATTATTGATTATTATTGATTATTGATTATTTTTTAACCAGCTGATGTTTTTAAGGTCGAAGCACTTAACTGAATCATCGGTTTAAGATATTCTTTTTTAACTAAAACATATTAAGCTTTATAGCCATCTTTATCGGCCATATAAATTACAGTTAGAAATAATCTATTTTTAGAATCCTTGGGTATTACTAAATATTCTTCAAATGAACCTTGCACCGACAAATTTTGATCATTATCCAATGATACTGTCTCAGTACGATAGGAATCTTCAACGGGTATGCTGAAATTAATATTAAAAATAATTGCTTAAATAATAACACCTTTGTTTTAAATTAATTTTACAATAATCTGGTATCTGCTGAGGCTACTATAATGCCAACTAATACAATGAACAGTGTTAAGGACAACTGCAAAAAGGAAAATATATATTTTTTTAATTTTGTAGTTTGTCTATTTTGATATTCTATTTAAATAGTTTACCTTTAATTCTTTAGACATTGTAACTAATCTTCTTCACAAATGCAACTGATTTGTTTCATAACTTCTCTGACATAATTTGTATACTATTTGCTAGATTTGAGATGTTTTTAAACTGGTTAATGTTTTATTTTTTTATTATTTCTTTTGTTTATATAATATGTATGTACATTAAAGATAAAACAATTGTTATTTGAGATTCGCTACAAATATGGCTTAATCTTCGCTTGAAAAATTTGAACAGAATTATCAAAATAAGACTTAGACATATTTGAAGTTGTTCGTAGTAAAAAATAACACAAAATATTAAAAATTTATTTATTTTTTTAACCAGCTGTAGATTTTAAGGTCGCAGAACTTAAATGAATTCTCGATTTCGCATATTGTTTTTTTACTAAAACATATTTTGCTTTATAACCATATTTATCGGCCATATAAATCACAGTTAGAAATAATTTATTTAATCTATCCTTCGGTATATCAAAATATTGTTCAAATGAACCTTTCACCGACAAATATTGATCCTTGTCCAAAGTTATACTCTCAGTGCGATTAGAGTTTCCAACGGATATGCTGAAATAATTATTAATTATTCTAATTAAAATAACTACATACATTTTTTTTGTTTCAAATTTCTCTTACAATATTCTTGTGTCTGCTGATGTTAATACAAAGCCTACTATTAAAATAGCCAGGCTTAAAGTGAACTATAGGAATAAATAGTTTTGTTAATAGTATTTCATAAATTGGTCTAAATATTTTTTACCTTTAATTCTCTAGACATTTTAACTTATCCTCTTCTAAAATGCAACTGATTAGTTTTATAACTATTTTTGTCATAATTTGACTTTTTTTGTTTGATTTGATATGTTTTATTAAACCGGAAATATAAGTATTTAATCTATTTTTTAAAATTGCAATATGTTTATGCTACAGTTTAGACAAGTTTTTGTTATAGATTCAAATATGGGTTATAAATAGTTTCTCACCCTAAAAAGATTCGTGGATTAGATTATAAACAAAATATGTTTCATTAATATTTATTTTAGTATTAATTTATTGGTTCAATTTAAAATAAAGTTTTGCCAACACAAAATGAAAACAGCACTATAAATAAATAGGCCTTCATCCTAGCAGGCCTTATGGAATTCTTCTTGAAATTATTTATCGAGAAAAAATTTTTAATATTCTAGAGAGACTTCGATCAAAATTATATTGCATACGATTTGGGTTTCGATTTGAACTTTATATAATTCGAAAGTATTATACGGTTATAAAAGTGTCAGTCAAGGCTTGGTTTTGTTTTAAAATTCGTGTAATATACTTTCGGAATATAATGTATTTAAAATAATTAAACATCAAGGACTATAAGATGTCTGCCTCAGGGTTTAAAGATTCTACCTATATTCTATTTAAAGTCGAATATATTCTAAATCATAAAATTTTAGATAAAAAGTATTAAATAAAGTTGAAGGTTTGTAAAAATCGAAAGGTGGACCTGGAGCTATAAATCACAAAAACAACAGCTTTTATTTTTTTTTTATAATTTTCTTTTTTAATATTTGATATTTTTAAATATACAGTGAGAATATATATTACATATATAGACTAAACTATAGACTAGACTATAGACTAGACTATAGACTAGACTATAGACTAGACTATAGACTAGACTATAGACTAGACTATAGACGACTAGACTAGACTATAGACTAGACTAGACTAGACTAGACTAGACTATAGACTAGACTAGACTATAGACTAGACTATAGACTAGACTATAGACTAGACTATAGACTAGACTATAGACTAGACTATAGACTAGACTATAGACTAGACTATAGACTAGACTATAGACTAGACTATAGACTAGACTATAGACTAGACTATAGACTAGACTATAGACTAGACTATAGACTAGACTATAGACTAGACTATAGACTAGACTATAGACTAGACTATAGACTAGACTATAGACTAGACTATAGACTAGACTATAGACTAGACTATAGACTAGACTATAGACTAGACTATAGACTAGACTATAGACTAGACTATAGACTAGACTATAGACTAGACTATAGACTAGACTATAGACTAGACTATAGACTAGACTATAGACTAGACTATAGACTAGACTATAGACTAGACTATAGACTAGACTATAGACTAGACTATAGACTAGACTATAGACTAGACTATAGACTAGACTATAGACTAGACTATAGACTAGACTAGACTAGACTATATACTATACTATATACTTAACAATAGACTAGACATTTTATCCAGCTGTAGACTTCAAGGTCGAGGGATTCAAATGTTGTGGTTTATAATATTTTTTCTTTACTAAAATATACTTTGCTTTATAACCATCTTTGTCGGCCACATAAATCACAGTTAGCGTTAATCTATTTTCGTCATCTCCGGATATTTCAAAATCTTCCATAAATGAACCTTCTTTCTTTAAATATCCCTCATTATCCAATGATATAAGCTCAGAACGATGAGAATCCTCCACATTAATGCTAAAACGATATAATCCGTTAAAAAACTATATATCTAAAATTATACCAATTTACTTTAATCTGGCCAAAAGTTTTGTATTTGCTGACACCAGTACATGATTTAAAAATAACATTGTTAGGAATATGGGAAACTGTAAAAAAATTTAATCAGCTTTTTAGTATTGTTTATATTTTATTTGATTTTAAGACTTACCTTTAGTTTTATAAACATTTTAATACTTTCTGTTATTCTGCTAAAATTCAACTGATATGTTTTAACTATTAATTTTGTTTAAATTTTAATGATTTTTGGGTGATTTTATAATTATATGCTGAACCGGAAAAACAAGTTATTCTCTAAAATATCTTAAAATTTAGCAGATATTTAATACATTTTTTTAACAAGTTTTAAACATGTATATTTAAATAGTGGGTGAATTTTTTATCTTTAAAGATGGGTCTTGTGTTCATTCATAAGTTAATCAGTGTAGGTTTGAGGGTGTAATGTTTTTTTTTGTGTATTTACTATTGTTTAGAAATATTTTTTGAAATATGAAGAAAAAACTTGATTGTGCATTGACAGGTTGTATTGTTGTTGTATTGAATAAACTTTGTAGTGGACCGACAGACACTGAAGTACTTTTGGAAATATTCCATTCCAATGATATAACAGACTATAATTAATAAAGTAATTTCAGACATTTTGCTGTATGTAATTTAACATATTAATCTAAAAATACTTTTTTTTTGTTAAAATAATTACTAATTAAAAAATATATTAAAGTGAAAAAAATATTTTATTATTTTTTATAATTAATATTTAATTTACTAATTAAAGTATTTTTTAAATAAAAACTATAAAAATTTTATTCTTCCTTCTCCTTATTTTTTTGTATTAAATAATTGTTTGAATATTTAAAAATTTTCCTATTTAAAATTATTTTATTTACTAAAAAATTTAAAAAACGTATGGTAAAAAACGATTAATTTAAATAAAAAATTTTACAACTACATATTTAAAAAGAAACTATTTTTTTCTGGAAAATATACGAAAAGAAATTGTTTGGAGAGGGGATAATAAAAAGTGTATATGTGTGTGTTTAACATTTTTGTTTTTTAATAATAAAATATTTATTTTCCTATAAGAAAAGATTAAATATTTTATTAAGTTTTTTTTTTTTTTTTAACAAAAAAATTTTAAAAGAAATTTCTTCTTTTGAACTGATATCCCCTCTTCAACTTTTTTCTTATATATTTTCAGACCCTACTTCCTACAAAATGTTAAAGAAATTTTTAAGAAAATGTTTTAAAACCATTTGAAAACTAACAAAATATATTCGGTGGTGGTGTTGGTAGTGGTTTTTATTGTATAATATTTACTAAAGAATCTCTCAAATCTCAAATACATTAAAACCACTTTTAAAAATCGCAAAAAGTCTTAACTATGGGAGCTAATGTCTCACAACTGGAAAAGGAAATTGGCTCGGATTTATTTCCACCCAATGAACACTACTTTGGTTTGGTAAATTTTGGCAACACCTGCTACAGTAATTCAGTGCTACAGGCTTTATATTTTTGCAAACCCTTTCGTGAGAAGGTCTTGGAATACAAAGCCAAAAACAAAAGACCTAAGGAGACCCTGCTGTCCTGTTTGGCCGATCTGTTCTATAATATAGCCACGCAAAAGAAGAAAGTTGGCTCTATAGCGCCTAAAAAGTTTATAGCGCGTTTGCGTAAAGAAAAAGAAGAATTTGACAATTATATGCAACAAGATGCTCATGAGTTTTTGAATTTTCTCATCAATCATATTAATGAAATTATATTGGCCGAAAGAAATGCTAATAAAAATGGCTCTGCTGCAGGAACGGCAGCTATTAAATCATCCTCCACTACATCAACATCTACCACTGCTTCAAATTCCTCTACCAATGGTACATGTTCCCAGTCTACCGGCTCCATCAATGGCATAGGTATTGGCATAACCGATGCCTCTACGCCCACACAAAATAACAGCGCCAACACCGAGCCCACCTGGGTGCATGAGATATTCCAGGGTACTTTAACCTCAGAGACTAGATGCTTAAATTGCGAAACGGTCAGCAGTAAAGATGAACACTTCTTTGATTTACAAGTTGATGTGGATCAGAATACATCCATTACTCATTGTTTGCGCTGCTTTAGCAACACCGAAACTTTATGCTCAGACAACAAATTCAAATGCGATAATTGTTGCAGTTATCAAGAGGCTCAAAAACGTATGCGTGTCAAAAAATTACCCATGATTTTGGCTCTGCATCTAAAACGTTTCAAATATATGGAACAATTTAATCGTCACATTAAAGTGTCACACCGTGTTGTATTCCCTCTGGAGCTAAGACTTTTCAATACCTCAGATGATGCTGTTAATCCCGATCGTCTGTATGATCTTATGGCGGTAGTCATCCACTGTGGTTCGGGTCCAAATCGTGGTCATTACATTAGTATTGTTAAAAGTCATGGCCTATGGTTGTTATTCGATGATGATATGGTGGATAAGATAGAGGCTTCGACTATAGAAGATTTCTATGGTTTGACATCGGATATACAAAAGTCATCGGAAACTGGTTATATATTATTTTACCAATCGAGGGATTGCAATAACTAACTAAATGCGCTGAGTATCATGGAAATCGCTATGATTTAATTTAGTTCATTCAACATGTCTTTATTTAAAATAAATAAATTCATATTTATTATAGTAAAACATAATACATATTATGAATAATAAATAAAAAGAAAAAAATAATCACAATGCATTTCATAGAATGTCAGTAAAATAAAATAATGAAATTGTTTTCATTTTAAGAGGTAAAGATGAATATAGAAAATATGTGTAATTATATTATAAAAAAACATAAATAAGATGACATTTAACAAACATCTTTAGATTTCCAAAAATTAAAAAGGATTTCATTTTCTAAAAGCCCAACAATGACAATCTAACAAAATAAATGTCATGCAACTTGTCTCTTAAGTTCTTTTTTTATTCCCTTTCTAACAACTACTCAGGAAACTAACCAGTCATCCATACAATTCATTTCTTATTTAATCTCCTACACTTTTGGTACTCATTGCCACAAGGTACTATCTAACTAACTGACTGGGTGTGTGAGTACTTTTTTTTTTATTTTTTTGTTGGCTTTATTATTTACATATTATTTACTAGGGTGATCGATTATTCGACATTTTCCAAAAACCGGTTTTCGAATAGTTCGAATAGTTGACATTTAAAAAAAAACCGGTTGATATTTTTCAAATTCAGAAAAAACCGGTTAACCGGTTTTTCATTACAATTAAAAAAAATATATTTTAATTTGAAAAACTTAATGTTTATGTTTAAATTTGATTAATAAAACATGGCCCGAAATGATTTTTAACAGTTTAAAAGATTATAACTTTAGATCTAGTCGTCTGATTTACATTATTTCTTTAATATAAAAAATTAGGAAAAAAGTGGGACACTTCTGTTAAACATAAGGTACTATGTAATCCTAGCTTATTTTAAAAGCCCTGTTTAGGAAATTTGCATAGGCGTTCCAACACTTCCATAAAATTTCAATTTACAAATAATTTTTTTTTAATTAATTAGGAAAATCAAAAAAGTTTAACCAAAAGAGCTGTAGAAAAATATACTCTAGTTCCTCGACTCGAATATTTTTAAAATTTAGACGGGCTGTATTATTATTTACTTAAAAATTTCATTTAAATAATCTTTGAATACAAAGCAGATAAAAGTATTCGAAACCGGGTTTTAAAAAGTGAAAAAACCGGGTTATTCGATATTCGAAAAATCAACATTAAGAAAAAACCGACACTGGTAAAGCAGAAAAACCGGTTTTAAAACCGGTTGAAAAATCGAGTCGATCACCCTACATATTACTCTAGCTGTTGTTGTTGTTGTTTATGACAATGACAAGATGTGACAGCTTTAGAATGATGCTGCTTAGGGTGTGTTTGCTGTGTGTGTGTTAGTTATTCAATTCTTATTTCAATGTTTCAAATAACAAACTCATAACGCCACAACTACAACAATACAAATACAAACACATACAACTAAACAAACAACATCAAAGCATTTAAACATGACATGTCCGTCAGTTGGTATTTACAAGATTTGAAATAATTAGTTCTTTGGTTAGAATTTCTTATGGTTTTGTGGATTTTTCTCTTAACTTTTTTGTTTTTCTTAAACAAAATCCTTCATCACGAATGTCTAAAGAAATATGATTTATAGTCATTTTTATGAAAAAACAATTCAAATATTGGAAATGTTCATTAACACGTACTGAAGAATGAAAACAAATATTTTGTAAGTAAAAATTTCGATGATTTATTTGCTTATCCAAAACAAATATTGCTTCAATATTTAAAAAAAAAAACTTTTTCGACTTCTTTGTTTAAACTTTAGATTGTTTAATTAGTTTTATTGGTTTTTAAAGTCTTAGATCAATAATAAATTAAAAATGACAAAACGTTTTGTTTGTCTTATGTATTATAACATAATAACAAAAATCTTATAAATACCGTGAGTGATAATTGAAAGAATGTGGTTTTTGTCAGGCTGTATGATGCAAGAATAGGAGAACTGTTATTTCAAGTTTTGAAATTATCATAGACCTCTAAATTATAACAAGTTGTAGGTCGAAAACATTAAAATCGAACAATTTTTATTCATTGATATCTTCAAATCAATATCGATTAAAATATTTTTTTGAATTTGAAAGGACTTTTATCGTATAATTTTATATGAATAAATAGATTTTTGATTATTAGTTAAAAATGGCTTCAACGCTTAATCAAATAATCTTTTTCGAATTTTGTGGGTTATACCATTATATTATGATTGTAAGAAAGCTTTAACTGAATACTCTCCCAGAGGTAAGGTTAACATCATATGAGTACCAGGCCACTCGGGAGTAGTCGGCAACAAAAGGGCGAATGTACACAGAGGGAAAAGGAAATATACACGCCTGGTACCAAATTGACACCAAAAAGTTTATAATTTTTAATGACAACGCAACGTTGTCAACATTGCAACAATTCGTTGTCGAAATCTAAATTTTATACACATTTGTTGTCTAAATGTTAAAAAAACATGGTAAGCTCAATATTGGCAACGGATTGTTTGTCAACGAATGTGTATAAAATTTAGAATTCGACAACATTACATAGTGTTGTCGTACGTATGTATATACTTTGACAATGGATGGTATTGAAAAATTATAAACAGTTTGGTGTCAATTTGGTAACTCTGTGTAATAGCTTTAAATGGAAGGGAGCTCGGGTCAGTTAACCTGACAAACGCAAAACCATTCCAAGCAACAAAAGCTGAATTAAAAATATGGGTGAGAGAATCTCATAAGGCGTCTTGGAATAATGAAACGGTGAGAGCAAGAGCAAGTCTGAAGTTAGTATGATGGTACGTATTCTGAGTCGACACACAGGATTACAAGCACATCTATGCAAAATTGGACGTGCGGATTCAGACGAAAGTAGAGCATGTGAAGAGGACAGTGAAACTCTGGAGCACTTTCTTTGACACTGTCAGGCATTGGTCGAAGTTAAATCCAAGTATCTTGGAAGTGATGTTATTCCGGAAATAACATTCCTGACTAACACTGATTGGAAGATTCTTAGGAATTACGTCCAGGAAACTGATTTTATGAACATTGAAAAATAACAAATTCAGTGAACAATTTTTTTTTTCATGAAAAGGAGCGCACAAAAGGACCGATAGTGGCCTAGGAGTATTTCTTCGGATTTTATGTAGTTTACATCCTTCTATCAACCTAACCTAATTTCAAATTCCATATAATTATACATTCTGGATCTTTACATAAGATTCAATTTAAGAATATTTGTGTGTCAATTGAAAACATAGCTTTTAAGCACCTAAATATCACGCGGGTCCTTGTTTTGAAAAATGGTACACCTGTATATCCATCTATTGCCGTTTAGCATTTACCCCTTTTTGTATGCGGTCTAATTGAAGCTGTAGAATAAAGTAACTATCCCAGCAAAAACTAGTTAATGACTTTCAAAACAACTACATATCGTCTACTTTTTCGATGACTTTACCGTGTTAAAATAATGACTTAAAATGCTGTTTTGTAGGTAAATTTTATAATGAAAGTTTTTGCTGGGATAGTTTCAATTAGACTTTTTACATTATGACTCTCTATCTCTAGTCATTGAATCAACATTTTGAGTTATTAAATCATTCATTTAATTTTAAATAGTAAATTTACGTTACTTGACTTTTGAAAGAATGACTTGCATTAATACTAGAACCAGTTTTCTTCTAAGCATTAGTTTGATTTCAATTCTGTTCAACTTAAAGCAATTGTTCAATTAAAAGGATGAAAATATATCAGCATAAAACTGTTTATGACTTGTACTTACTCAACAACTTACTTTTCAATGACTACTACATATTTTTAAGTATTCTAATAATTATCCTTTTTTCGAGTTTCGCCATTTTATATGCACATCAAATTTAATCGCTTGCTTGCAACAACTCTTTAACTCCCTCTTTATAAGTACTTATTTAAATACTTATTTTAAGGGAGCATGGTAAGTACTTGGCTCCAATGTCTTAGCTATGTTAAAACTCCAATGTATAAGTAGTGAAAATATTTTCAATAGCTTTATAAATCCTTACTTTACATTGTAAATTTTTGATGGGTAACTAGTAAAAAATATTATTTATTTATTAATTTGCTTATAAAGTGAAATTTCCTAGTTCCTAATTAAATTGAAATCTATTAAATGATCAATTTTAATACCCAAAAAAAAAAAAACACTAGACAAACGGTGATTTATTGCCAAATAATTTATTTCATTATTTTCTGTATAAACTTTAAATTTGTTTTTTCACCATCATAACTAGTACATACATACAAAACAGGAGTCTATTTATCATGTGACTTAACTAGCCACTTAACCACTTATCCTATCCAACCATTCGTTTATACATTCATCCATCCATCGATCTATTCAATCTATCTATCTTTTTACTAAATCTGTTAATAGTCTTAAACTACTGCTTTAAGCAATTTTAACACATGTTGGAAAAAATGTTAAATCATAAAACAAGCAACTTTAAACACATACATACGTACACTAGTTAGTCTCCTCTGGTCGATACTTCCTAAATCAACAGTATAACTATTGGCAAGAAGTGGGAAAAAACCGCAGACGCATTATTGAAACATTTTACTAGAGATTTTGTGCATTTTACTTTAATGAAAATTTAATTGCATTTTTGTGTCTATTACGCATAATGTTGGTTGTTGCTTGGTTGGACCCTGAGACTGTTGGTTTCACTACCTGCACTGTGTACGCTGCCAATGATGCGTTGAAATGTAGAAGAAAAACTAGTTGGCTGTCAAACACTGCAGACTTGCTGAATTGCAATTTGAGCCGTTAAAAAGATCAAACTGAGGTGGCCCACGTATGCTGGAAATTTCCATTAATTTGTTTAATTATGTTTTTAAGGGCAATTTCCTGTTTGGTTATGATTTTTGATTTTTATGATTTTTTAATTTTTTATAAAATTTTACAGAGAAAAAAAATTATGATAGAAATTTCCAAAATTGAAACTCTTAACGAAATTATCAATTACTCTCAACTGTAATAATTAAAATCCATTCTCATTTCATAAACTTGAAATTTTAATTGAAAAATGTTTAATAAGTTGTTTAATTGAATGTATCAAACATTAATTGAATGAATTAAAAAAATATATTAAGCTATA